TTTAAATATTAATTTTAAGTCTATAGTTCTTAATACAATATTTTAGTTTATATAAAAGATAACAATTTTTATTAGTATTACTTTTGCAATTTACTTATAAAAATTTAGATTTGTACAAAGTGTAAAATTTTTTTTTAGGTTCAGAAACATATGAAATCTTAAAAAATCTTAAAAAATTTTTAATAATAAAAATTTTTAAATAGAATCTTTAAAATTTTAATATATAAGAATAGTGATATTAGTATAATAGTTGGGTTATCATCTTCTAAGTGGCAGGTCTAAGGTTCAAATCTTACTTATGATGAAATTTGAAAATTAACCTATATTATGACAAACTGTCTCTTAACAATCAGTTAAATTTGTGTATCTGTAACCTTAAGTTGCATCATCTCGAATAAGAGCTTAGGGCATTTATACTAAATATAATATTATATATACATAGAGGAATGTTAATAACCAGTGTTATATAAGACTTTGGTACAAATCTATGATAAGACCATCGGATGCAGTAAACAAAAAACTGAAAAGTCAGAAGCCTACTTGGAAATTCCTGAGTAAAGAGGTAGCATGAACTTTCAATGATACAGTTAGACTGATAGAAGCCTATGAAACACCTCCAAAAAGATAGGTGGATAAACTAGATGTCAAGATATATAGAGGAGCATATAACCAACCAGGCCACTAGAATTACCAGAGAAAAAGAATATATAAGTATACCATACCAAGCTATCAGAATTGAAAGTTAGGTGAGTTCTGTTAGTCCTAAGTAGCAGTTAGTAAGAGATGATGAAAAAAACATCATGATGATAGGTACTGGGGTTTTAGTAAACTTTACAAGAATAGAAATAGTGTAATATAATAGTTAAACAGACTCTTGTAACTGCAAGTATTAGGTAACTATAGCATGTTGCATAAAACTAGATTAGCTATGTATAGGACTTAAAAGGTTCTAGTAAGTTTTCTGTCAAGAATAACTAGTCCTAAGGTTACTTGAAGGCATCAGATACTTTAGATGGGTGTAGCCTTAAAGATGTCCTCATTAGACATAGTGGACTACATATGCAGAGGGTTTAAATAGACAAGACCCATAGTTGGCTTGCACGTATAGCACTTAGTATAGAATCTGTATAGTAATGTATAGGCAGACTACTTAAATTAGATATCAAAAGTGCATATATGGCTAGTTGTAACCTCCAATATAAGGAAGCCTTTGGAGGCACCTGTGTTTAAATACATGAATAAAAATATCAACTTCTATAGACAAGAACTTTAATTCAAAAAAAAAAAAAATTTACTATATAAAAGTTTATTAATATTTTAAAAAATTTTTTATAATAAAGTTTATAAAATATGTTCTTAAGAATATATTTTATAAGCAAAGTATACCCTATATTATTAATAAATTATTATTTTATTTAAAAAATACTAAATACAATTTAATTAAAAAAAACTCTTTTTGCTGATCCGCAGCATCAAAATTGGCATTAAACAAAATACAAACAAATCTCAAAATCAAGACTAAGAAACAACATTAGCACTTCTAAGAACAAGAGCTCAGCATTCCAAAAAACATATATGTAAATAGAACCAAATCTTTATTAACTTGAATGTTTAGTTCTTTTTATAGGTTGTTAGAAAATTTTCAACAAAATTTTGTACAAATTGTGAAAAATTAACTTGATTCTGAAAACAAAAGCACACAATATGTAACTAGTAAACAATAACAAACAAATAAACAAACATGTCTTATTTTAGAAAAGGCAATTGCTACACAACAATAACAACAAACATAAGATCACATATTAAATCAGATAAGGAAACAGGCTTAGAATAAGTATTAAACAAACAAGAGCCAATCATATTAGTTACAATAGATAAGATGAAAGAGTTATACAATCAAGGGATATTATATTGTATCAGTGAACTAGGTGCCAGAAATTTAAGGTTTATGAACAGTGAGATATTAACAGAAGAACTAAGAGCAACAATGCCTTATGTTCCAGATGATAGTGAGCATATAGCCAAAAGTCTAGCAATAGTAGATCCTGACAAGATTATAGCAATGAATTTACTAATTTATGGACAAATACTAAATTTACTAAGACAAAGAGAGGGTAGAATTCCAAACAACACCCTGATCAAAGAATGGGCAACTAAAGCCAGAATGACTTATGAAAACCCAAAAACAGTAAACTAAATAACAAATATGAATAACAAAGAAATACAAGAAGAAACAAACAAGATGGAGAGTATAGAGAAAAAAGCAAAGTAGAAAGGCCTCAGGAGATAGTTACAAGAAAACAGTAACAAGAAGAAGAGAATTAAGCTAAAGACTTAAGACCTTGTAAATCAGCTAAACTAACTAAAAACAGCATGCACATAGAGGAAGAAAACCAGTCAGATAGGGAAATAACAAACCAAATACCAGTAACAGCTTTCTCTAAAACATCTAAAAAAGAAAATACAAATAAAACAAAGCTTAAGGACAAGAAGTTCAAAGAAGATCAAGAAATTTCTCTAGAAGATATACTTGATGATAGTAAAAGAATGTATAAAAAAGAAGCTTAAAAAGAATCCAAGAGCAAAAAGAAAAAAAAAGAGCTTTAGAAAATCAAATTGTAGCAATACCATTGGAGGATAGCTTGTAGTCACCTGAAAATAGAGTGTGTAATCACAAAAACTCATTTAGAGCAAATATTCCAGCATACAATCTGCTAGGAGATAACAAAATCGAAAGAGTGAATTATCTAAAATGGGTGCTAAAAGACAACAAGCATATCAAATCGATCAGAGAGAAATTTAAAAGAAGAAACAACTGGATAGTAATTAATTTTGATTGTGAATTTGGCAGAAGTGCAGCAATTAAAAAAGCTAAAAGAAAAGAAGGAGATTGGCTAGTTATGATTTCAGATGAAAAAGTAAAAGATTCTGTAGAAGTAGATCATAAACAACTCAAAAAGCACAAGAAAGAATTTAAACAAACAAGTTCAAATAATATAGAAGAGAAAACTACAAATAAAAAAGAAGAAATCATAATGAAACAGAAAATTCTGACAATTTGGGATTTACCTTCAGATGTCAATGAAAAAGAAATAAGATACATATGCAGAAGGTTGCAAGATCTACATATAATATGAGTAAAGAGAATGCAATATAAGACATTAACAGTAATCAAAATAAGTATCAAAAAAAAAGAAATATGCCCTGGTTCTTACCTTTAGGAAACAATAAACTTGTAAAAATAACTGAAGGAGATAAAGATTACAACCAAAAAGATAAACAATGCCAATTTATAGCAAGACTGTTAAATATCCTCAAAGAAGCTTCAGAGGTCTTACTCTTATAATGTTTAAAGAACAAAGAAGCAAAAGTCATATATATCCCAGCAAATAGAAATAGAAATTAAAAAAAGTTTGCAATAATAATATTCACAAATACTGAAAAAATGGATTTAGCTCAAACCAAACTAATATGGTATAACAACCATTAAGTAATTTGGGAAAACTACCAAAGAAAAGATCCAAAAAGAAATGAAGTATCAAGAGGAAGAAAACAAACAGTGTCAGAGTCAAAAAACAGAAGACAAACAATCTCAGAGTTAAAGAAACAATACAACAAATAGCAAAAAAAAATAATGCAAGCAAAGAACAGTTTTTGGAAAATCAAACAAAGTATTTAACAGATAACATAGCAGAAGAAGAAAGTTCAGAGAAGAGAAAAAACAAATTCAAAGCCTAAACTAAAGAAAAAGCTCTAAACACAGAAGATATCCTAATAAAGATTTTGAATAGGCTAGAAAAGTTGAAAGAGGCAAGAGGAACAACAATGAAAGGTCTTGCAAATCACTCCTAAAACTTGTCATAGTTGAATTAAAGAGACCAGATGTAGAGATAACCTTCTTTTTGCAGGATCAAAGGCACAAACAGAAGACAAAACAAACAAAATCTCTACAAACTGATAATAGTAATAAACAAGCTAAAAAGAAGAGATGAAGCATAATAGAAAATAAAAGAAAAGCATTTATAGAAAAAATCTATTCCAGGAACAGTATAGAATTAAACTTGGTAACATATAATATTAATGGCCTAAAAAGCAATAATCAAAAAATAGAAACATTATACATGTAGACATTAGACAACAATATTGATATAGTAGGGCTAGCAGAAATGAACATTACTGCAAGAGAAGGAAATTTTCTAACAAAAGACTGCATTGAGTATAAAAGTTTTTGGGCAAGTGCAAATTTAAGCAAAAAAAAAGGTTCAGATGTAAGATTTCTAATTAGCAAACAATGAGAAAAACACTTAGGCCAAGTAGAAAAAATAAGTGAATATATAATTTCAGCTAATTTTATGTTCAAACAAGCAGAAATCTTAGTCATCATGATATACACACCTCCTAACAACAAAGAAGAAAAATTAGTTATACAAAAAACACTAATAGAAAAATATATAAAACATATAGCAAAAATTCAATTAGTGGTAATAGGTAACCTAAACTGCATAGTAAACACAGAACTGAATAAACTGCAGAAAACTAAACAAAAACCTAAAAAGCAAGATCTGCTTATTAAATGGTTAGCAAGACAAAAGTTTCAAGATACCTATAAAACAATTAATCTAAAGAAGAAAAAATTCTCATGGTCAGGCAGAGAACAAGAGACAAGAATTGATTATATATATGTCACAGAAGAGCTTACCAATAGGCTATTAGATGCAGAAATTCAAGAGATAGATATTTGAACAAATAGTAATTATGGTGCAATTGTGGCAAAAATGGACTTAAATTATCTTATTGCAGTATATAAAAAAGCAGAAATCAAAAAAGAAAATTTTCAAAGAACAGTACTGCTATTTAACAAAGCAACAAAAGAAAATTGAAACAATTATAAAAATGAACTCGAAGCATAACTAAAAAAGAAAATTACATTACCAGAACTACAGCAAGTCTTGATAAAAGGTTCACTCAATAAGAAAGATATAAGACTAGACAAGTAGTAGAACATTATAAGTAATATAATATGGGTAATGATAAAGAAAACATTGCCTAAAAGATGAGTTTTAAACACAACTGCAAACAAGAAAAAGGAGGTAAGAGAATCAAAACTAGGAAAAATACTTACACAATTAGGAAGATGGATTAGTCTGGGTAGAAAGAATGTTGAAATAGGATGGTTAAAAGAGAACATAGAAGAGCTTAATAAGGAAATTAAGTATATTAACCAGCAGCATAATGTATATATAGAAAAAGCACAAAAACATTAGTCCAAATAACTAATAACTGACCTCAAAGGCTAGTGGCAAATTCTTTATGCAAGGTGAGCATGTGAAATCCAAAGGCTCAAAAAAAAAGAAATTGAAGAGAACATTAAAAGAAGATGTGTGAAAATAAATAAAGAGCAAGAAAAAATGCTAGCAAGTCTTTTAGACAAACCATATAACAAAATTCAAATCAATAGGCTGCTTAAAAAAGAAGAAGAAGAAGATAATTCAAGACAATTAATTACAAAGCTACTAGAGGTACTAAAAGAGACACAAAAGCATTACCAAACTCAATTTAGACCTATACAAGTCAAATATGAAATATTTGAAAAGAATTGGAAAGAATTTTACAAATCAAAGAAATCAATTTAAATTGACTAGTACAGTGAAGTGAATCAGAATATTTCAGAAAAAGAGTAAATATAAATATTAGCAGAACTAAAAAAGAACACAGCTTCAGGAATATCAGAAATTATATATATATTGATACAAGCAGCAGGACCCAAAGTTCAAGAACTATTTAGAACATATGCAGAGATATATATTAAAACAGGAAAAGTGCCAGCAAAGTGAAAAGTCTTTCAAATATATCTGATACCAAAAGAAACAAATTGACAGTACAATTTAAGCAATGTAAGACTAATTGCATTGCTTGAAACTTTTCAGAAGTGCATAACAAAAGTTTTGACTAAAAGATTAACAAGTGTGTTCTGCAAGAAAAGTATCTTGGAAGGCCCAAACTTTGCAGACCTATCAGGAAACTCAACAGAGAAGCCTGTTCATATTATGAACATAATAATAGAAGATGCAAAAGATAACAATAAAGAGCTCTGGTTGGTTCTCTAAGATATGAAAAAGGTATTTGATTCAGTATCATTTACAACATTAAAACTGGCAATAGAAAGAAATAAACTACCAGAAACAATAATTAAGCTAATTCTAAACTTGTTTACAATAAAGAATCAAAGGTCATCACATATTGGAGGCATACAGAGACATTCCAAATTCAGGATGGAATTGAACAAAGTGAGGTTCTGTCACCTCTGGTATAGAGAATATTTTATGATCCACTACTAGAGTATATACAAAAGGATACTAGTCTGGAATATACAGTATCAGTAAGATTACTGTATAACCAAAAGCTTAATTATACAACAGAGATGAAATGGAGACAAGTTATAGTAGCATTCATAGATGATACAACCTGGATAGCAGAAAGTAAAGAGCAGATAGAACAAACAATCGAAATTGCAGAAGAGTTCTTCAAATTTAATGATATACAAATAAATGAAAAAAAATCCAAATTACTAATTATAAACTCGAAAGAAACTAAGAAAAACAGAAGAATTAAACTTGGTAATGAATGGATATATGAAGAAGACAAAAATAAAATAACAAGATTCCTTGGAATTTGACTAAACAACAGACTAAAAAAAACAATAATAAAAGCAAAAGCAAAAGAATTAATATGATCAACTGTAGAAGGATTAAGAGAAAAGAAAATGACTATTGTGCAAATGGCATATATAAACAATATGTGCATAGTACCAAAGCTTAATTATATATTGCAAGGAACCAAGCTTTCAAAAAAGATGATAGACAATATACAAAGTCCTATCCTAAGATTAGCAAAAAATAAGTTAGAGATAGTAAAAACAGTTGGAACTAGTGTAATTTTATACAGAAATTTAGACAATTGCAACTTGCTATAGAATCAATTACTGATGAAGCAAATTATAATTTTACACAACTGTTTAAACTCATCAGGTCCAGAGGAAATACTAACCAGAATTTGAATAAGCCAAGGATTAGCATACATAGAAGCATCAGAAAATAATTGACATAAAAATTTATCGAACATATGTAACAAGCTTTGGAAAAACAATTTAGTATGTCAAGTAATGCTAAAAGCAAAAGACATGCAAATAATGTTTAGATTTAATACCTTAAATAATACTTGTGAGCAAAACAGGCAAAAAATAGCAGAAGTACTTAGGAAAAAGTTTACAGTACAAGCAGCAACAGCTTTAAGAAAACTAAATGTTTTTTATATAGAACAGTTAATCAACAGAACTGGCAACCAAATGATTACATAACAGCAACTCAAAGTTCTAAGAGGTAGCTCAAGTAAAGGAAAAGTAGCCAAATAGTTTAAAATAATAGAAAAAGAAATAATTGAGGATATCAAAACAAGAAAAGTGAAGTCAATTTTTAATATACAAACATCAAATATAAATGCTTTGAAGATTAGTTTGGCAAAACTATCTGAAGACAAAAG